AAAAAAAAAAAAAGAGGCAGGAGAAGCTGGCACAAACAGCCGGCCAGCAAAATTTCGAAGCAAATTCTTCGCAACGACCCTGAACCTCTTTTTTCTGGTGCAGATGCGCGTCTGACCAACGCTTACGTGACCCGAAGCATCTTAGGCTTTTCGGCCCAGCCAAGATTTTTTGGAAGAAGGCACGGCCCGGTAAAGTTTGGAGGAAGCGGACGAGGAAAAGTGCATCTGATTAGGTCGAAGGCGCAGCTGCACGAAGCACTTGCAGCTGGTCAACGGACACCTCTCTCTCTTCTCTCCACACCACGCCATCGTCTTCATCATCGCGCGCGCACACTCGAGCAAAGATGGCTGCCGTCGCAACTAGCAACATGGACTCGCTCGAGAAGAGCCTGTGCGACTTTTCCGGCGCTGCGTCGCTCGACCAGCGCTTCCGCTCGCTCTTCACCATCAAGGGCCTTGCGGCCACCTCGGACGAGCACATGCAGCGCGCCATCGCGATCATCTCGGCAGCATTCTCGGACGACTCGGCTCTGCTCAAGCACGAGCTCGCTTACGTGCTCGGTCAGCTCGAGGACGTGCGTGCGCTCCCCACGCTCAAGCGCGTGCTTCAGGACAAGAGCCAGGACGCCATGGTTCGCCACGAGGCCGCCGAAGCCATGGGTGCCATCTCCGACCCGAGCGTGCTGCCTGTGCTCCAGGAGTACCTCACCGATGCCGACGTCAGCGTGCGCGAGACCTGCGAGCTGGCCATCTCCAAGATCAACTTTGACAACTCGGCCGAGGGCAAGGCGCTCAAGCAGGCCAAGGCGCAGGCCAAGCAGGCGGAAGAACAGAGTGGACTTGGCGGCGTCGAGTCGGCGTTCAAGCCCATCGACCCTGCTCCGGCTATGACGCCCGCAGCTAGCAAGGAGGCGGCCCAGGCACAGGCCGACGGTGTCCAGTACGAAGCCACGCAGGTGCCACTCTTCCGCGACACGCTGCTCGATACCACGCTCTCGCTGTTCGAGCGCTACCGTGCCATGTTTGCGCTCAGGAACGTCGCACATGCCGGCGGCGAGGGCGCTGTTCAAGCTGTGCTTGCACTCGCTCAGGGTCTCAAGGATGGATCGGCACTCTTCCGTCACGAGATCTGCTTTGTGTTCGGCGAGCTTTGCCACCCTGCTTCCATCCCGAGCATGGTCGAGGTGCTCAACGATGCCAACGAGCACGAAATGGTGCGCCACGAGGCCGCAGAGGCCCTCGGTGGCATCGTAGAGGAAGGTCAGGAGGACTCGGATGCCAAGAATGCCGACTTTACGCTCGTCATGGACACGCTCAAGAAGTGGGCAAACGACATGGAAGCCCCCCGCGTGGTGCGCGAGAGCTGCGTCGTCGCGCTCGACGAACTTGCATACAACAACGATCCGACCCAGTTCCACCGCATCGAAACCACCGCATCCGCCTAATCTTGCCCCTCGTTGTCCTCGTTTGCATCTTAGATCTTTCCTTCGTCTTCTCGACTGTTCCTACTCTGTACAATACCACACCCTGCACGATTCGAAACGTCTTTGCTCTACAACTCGGGGACGGCAAGCGTGAGTTCAGAATTGCTTGAGTGAATGCGACAAAGAGTGCGTACGATTGCAGGATAGACGAACGGAAATGGCACAAGGTACAAGTACAGTGCGAAACAAGTAGCGACGGGGTATCTGGATTTTGCAACAGTGGCGGGGCAGTTCAAACAACAGGCGTCGACTCAGGCTGGGCAGTGTGCGTGTCGTTGGCGCTGCCGATGCCGAGGGCGCCTTCGAGATCGAGGTGTGGGAACTCCAACTTGCCCGGGCCCGTGGGGCCCATGAGCTCCTCGGTGTACTTGAGCATCTTGATCAGCTGGGGCAGCTTGGGCTCTCGGCCCTGGCTCTGGGATGCGAGGATGGCCGCGTTGAGCTCGCCGGCGGTCTTGAGACGCTGGCTCGGCGACAGCAGCTCTGCGACATGTGCGGGTGCGGCGAGCGGGCCAGCGGCAACCACGCCCGCGGCTTTGGGCACGTCGAAGGCCAGCAGCGCCATGGTGCGCTCGAGCTCCGGTAGCAGGTCCGGATGCTCTTCGCCGCGCGGCGCGAGCTCCTCGGCAGCAAAGGCGAGCGCCTCGTTGACCAGGCCAGCACGGATGAGCTCGATGAGACGCTGCTGCTGCAGATGGAAAAAGAGCAGCGGATTGTTGTCCAGAATCTGCGTTGCAAAAAGCGTGAGGCGGATGCACGTCAGCATGACTGATAGACCGAAAGAGCTAGAGAAGCCGACAAGGACGCCGGCAGCAGACAGCCTCCAACGCATGGCCATCGAAAGCATCTCGAGGCATGCACGAGAGCGAGTCAGATTGGTTGTTAATTGGTGTAACGTTATCCGCACATAGACTCCCACTGGAGCCCGTTGCTAAGCGTGGTGCATGAATAAAAATATTGTCATCATTCGGACGAGGGTGCACGCGTGCGCCTCGGTGTGCTCGATGCTCTCGATGGTCATGTTCGGCTGCCGTGGTCCCTGCTGCGGTGTCGTATCGGCGGCGTGGTCGACTTACCTCTGGATCGAGCTCGTTGACGCGACCGATGGCGTCGTCGATGTCGCCGCGCTGTATGGCTCCTCGGATGATCATGCGATTGAGGATGCTTTCCGAGTCGACGAATGGCTTGAGGCCGCTCTCCCTGCTAAAGCAGTCGGCGGCATCCTTGTAGCCCTCGATGACGAGGTAGTCCATGACGAGCCGGTTGAGATCGCTGTCGTGAATTAAAGGATCTAGAGTCAGCGCGATATTCCTGACGGAAGGGCGGAGGTCGATGCTCTGCCATTCGTTCGTGGCAGCGCTTCCGACGGCGGTCTCTGCGTCGACACGTTGTACCTCGCTCGATGGATCAGTGGGCATAAGTAAAATGGTTTTCCTCATCAGATGTAGGAGAGATTCCCACTTTGCGTCAAGTCTCATCATTCGAGTCGAGCGAGGCGAGTACGTGTGCGGCGTAGATTGGCGCGTCGGGTTGCGTTGCCGCCGGACGGTGACAGAGGTGCTGCCGGTCGAGGGCTCCGTCGTCGAAAGCATGAAGGTGACTTACTCTTTGGCGACATTGATGACCGAGAGTTGCCTCTCCCATTCGGACTTCTTGAGCGGTGCTTTGGACATGGCGGTAAGAGCGAGCGGTATGATCCGTCAAGGACGACCGATGTGATGGGGAGCTTGGGGGAGAAAGGTCGTCGGCCCGAACCAGGCGCGAGGGCCGCCCGGGGGTTGGTGGTGGTCGAAGCGAAAGGAGGGCCGGCGGCGGTCTGAGCCCAGGTTGGCGATGCGAGGGCAGGAATGGAAAATTTTCGAGGCGGCGTCCAACGAGCGATGGTTGAAGCAGGCTGCAGCGAGGTGACGGCGCAGGAGTTTGAGCTGCCAGAGTAGCAGCAGAGATGGAGGAGCGAGGGAGCGTGATTGGCTGGTTGGGGTCGCGACCAGCTGCAACTTGCACTTTGACTGCCTCATTTCACCCCACCGACTTTCCGGCCGTAAATCGAGCGTGCGCGACTGCTGGGACTGCTGGGACTGCTGGGACTGCGGGCGCTCAGCTGTCGAAATTCGATCACGCGGGTCCAAGCTCAGCCTGTCCTCCTGTTGCTGCCAGTGTGGAGGCAGCTTTTCGCTTTAGGCGTGGGCTCGACCCTCGCTGCGCTTCTCCACCCAACTACCATCTTCATCAACGCGGCTGCAACACTCTCTCAGTCAACCACCTCGCGATCGATCCCACATACCCAGCATCGCTCCTGTGGTCATCCTTGTGTACCGAGGCCTCTTTTGTCAACGACCCGGCGTCTCGAGGTGTGCGATTGGCAGGCAGTCGGACGACACCAACAGCATCTGGCGCTGCTGCTCAAACAGTGATCGTTTCCCCCCTTTGTTTCCCCTCCCCTGTTTCCTTGTTTCTTTCTCGCTGCCCCCTCCTCCTCCCGGCTGCAGCTTTGTAAGCCGTCTCCGTCTCCGTCGTTCGAAAGTTGATGCTGGTGAATGATCAATCCCTTTCGTCCCTTCACTGATTGACTTGCCCCGACGCAGTAGCCGTGAAGCTCTTTCGCTCGTCGTTGCTGAAAGAGCGGCGCACGCCATTCCATTGACACTCCGGCGGCAGCTTTTGATCATCTTGCCCAATCCGTCATCCGACTGAGCGCCACTGCTCCTGTCTCGAACCCTTCTTCCTCACCCCCAACGAATCCATCCATACACGATGGCGTCTGCATCCGTATACTACAAGTTCAAGTCGCAGAAGGAGCCTTCGCGCATCACCTTCGACGGCACCGGAATCTCAGTATGGGATCTCAAGCGCGAGATCATCCTCCAAAACAAGATGGGCCGAGGAACCGATTTCGACCTTGGCATCTACAATGCCGACACGAACGACGAGTACAAGGACGACAACTTCCTCGTGCCACGATCCACGCAGGTCATCGTGCGTCGGCTCCCCCCCTCCAAGCCCGGACGCGGAACTGCCCAGAACTACGTGGCCGACATCAATGGCGCTGCCGATACCACAGGCGCCAGCCGCTTTTCGAGCACAGCCAACGCTGGGGGCGTCAAGCCGACCGACGCTCGCTCGCAGCCGTACCGTGGGCCCATGACCATGAGGTTCGACGGCAGGGATGCCAGCGCTGCGCAGCCACCGAGCGGCGGGCCGTCCTCGAGTGCCGCTGGCCTCGATCCAAAGGCAGCAGCCACAGGCGATGAAGCTGACCGGATCGCCGCCATGTTTCAGGCGACCACAGAGCAGTGGGACGAGACCCAGGAACGCATGTCGCACGCCACCTACCGCGACCGCTCGGGCCAGGTACGCCGCGGAGGACCTCCTCGTCCGATGACCACGCAACGCCCACAGCACATGCCCGACCGCCCACCGCCGATCGGCTACGTCTGCTTCCGATGCGGCAAGCCAGGGCACTGGATTCAGGAGTGTCCCACCAACGACGACAAAGAATACGACAACCGCCCGCGCTTCAAGCGCACCACAGGCATCCCCAAGTCCATGCTCAAGACGGTCGAGCAGCCCACCGAGGAGGACCAGCGTGCGGGCGTCATGCTGACCGCCGACGGCACCTACGTGGTGGCGCGCGTCGACCAGGAGTCGTGGCGCCGCAACCGTGTGCGCACCAAGCCGCTGACGCAGTCGGATGTGTACCAGTCGCCGCCCACGGACACGACGCTGGCGTGTCCGCTGTGCTCCAAGCTGCTGCGCGAGGCGGTGGTGACGCCGTGCTGCAAGACCAAGTACTGCGAAGAGTGCATCCAGACGCACCTGCTCGAGCACGAATTCACGTGTGCCGAGTGCGACAAGCGCATCGCCGACCTGGAGCAGCTCAAGCCGGACGAAGAGACGCGCAAGAAGGTCAAGGAGTACATCCGCGAGACGATCGAGCAGAGCGAGCGCGAGCTCGAGGAGGAGGCTCGCAGAGATGGGCAAGGCGACGCTGGCGACGGTGTCGACAAGTCGGACAGTAAAGGCGACACGTCGGATGCAGCGCGTCAGCGCACCAGCAGCCCTGGAGGCAGGCACGACGACAAGGACGAGCAGGCGCACCGCTCTGGATCGCAAAGCGAGCAGGAGCTCAGCTACGGCGACGCTGGCAGCGCGGGGCAGGGAGCGCCGGGCGGTGTGGTGTTCAACCCGCAGATGGTGCAGCAGATCATGATGATGATGCAGAATCCGCAGCTGCCGCCGCCGATGCGCATGCAGCTGCAGATGCAGCTCCAAATGCAGCAGTTTGCGTTCATGCAGCAGATGCAGCAGGCGGGGGCTGGGTCGCAAGCCACACCCATGCAGATGCCACAAATGCCGCAGATGCCACAAATGCCGATGGGGCCGATGGGGCAAGGGGGACAAATGGGTTCGATGCGGATGGGTGCCATGTCGAATGCGGGCGCGCCGTCGTGGGGCCAGCAGCAGGCGACGCAGGCGTCCAACTCGTACGGCAACCGCGGCGCACCGGCGGACGAGAACTCGGCGTACATGCGCATCCCCGTCAACCAGGCGCGCACACGCACCCCCGCCACCAAGCGCGACCGCCCCACCGACTTTCTCGAGGTGGGCAGCAACGGCAGCGAGTCGTCCAAGTCGGCAAGAACCGGCGATCGATAATCCAATTTCCTGCTACCAAGCTGTACTTTTACGTCTCACCGCATGCATCTCTATTGAGGTTTTCAGTCTGTCTGTTGCGATCGTAGGGAATGGTTTCGTATGAACATATTAAAGAGTTGCAATGAGGCTAATGCAAAGGGGTGGGGGCGTTTGGATGATCTAGGGTCCAGATTGTGTTCCGAGCCACTTTACGTTTCTGGCGTACTTTTCAATGTGGGAGAAGAACTGGTTTTGCACTTCGCTTCCTCTGCCAGCTGCGATTTTGAGGATGGCTTCGTTTGCGCCTCTTGCGCCGAGGATGTCAACATGGTCGCCTGTAGATTCTCCGCCGCGCAGGTCCATTGCTTCTGGTTCGTGTTTAAGCTCGTGCGTTACCACGCTGATGTTGGCCGGATTCCACTGCTTGTACTTCCAGCCCTCTGAACACATTGCCCCCAGCGAGAGCAACGAAACAGTCCCATCACCTTCGCCCATCTTGCAGCCGGAACGAACCTTGGGCAGAGCATCTTCCTTCTGCACATGATGGTCGATCCAACTCATCCTTGCCGTGGGGAAGTTGAGTGCCGGTGTACGCGATACGTCCGGACACGACTGGTTGAAACAGCCGGGTTCGTCCATCTGCTCTCCGATCGCTGCTTCGGTGACAAACTCGCCCTGCTGATACCAGTAGGAACGCTCCGTAGGCTTGCCCACGCCATAGATGCAGTAGAGCTTCATACTCGGAGCGTTGGGCAGCGGTGCTTCGAGCGGATTGCTCCACTTTGTGTGGTCGGCATTGTTGGCCTGCAGCTGCGCCTCGTCCCGCTCGATGCCGTGCGAGTAGTTGGTCTCGAGCATCTTCTGGAACGTGCTGGGCGCATGCTGCAGCATAAAGTTGTGCGCCTCGGTAGCCGTTAGATTGATCTTGACCGTATTCTCGTCCAAGTCGTGCTGGTCGGTACCGGGCTTTCGGAAGCTGTAGATGTGGCCGTGTGTATCCTCTGCACCCTCTTCGTCGTCGGGAGCCCAGGTGGAGTTGCCCCAAATGTCTTCGCCGCCCTTGATGAGCATGCTCGCGCCGCCCGCCCAGGTGCGGAAGAGCTTGGCGCGCTCCCGTCGGCTGAAGAACTTTTCGAGCAGATAGGCAGCTGCAGGAGGCACTTCGACGGTGTCCCTCATCTCGCCCGAGAGCATGACGGCCATGGCCTTGGGCACACCGAGGAAGGTGCCTGCGATCGAGGTAAACGCCTCGATGTGCTCTTCGACCCAATTGGGCCCGCCGTTGCCAAAGAAGTCGCCCTCTGCCTCGGCCCACTTCATAAAGTAAAAGAAGACGGAGCTTCCCATGGAATGGGCCACGATGACCGTCTTCTTGCCGTACAGCGCCTTGTTCTGCTCGATCTTGAGCTTGAGGCGCGTAAAGAAGCGGTCGCGCACCTCGAGGTTGTAGTAGCTGAGTCGCCAGTCGTAGCTGGCGAGGAAGAGGTTGTTGGTGTCGTATCCGAGCACGGCGAGGTTCTCGATGACCTTGCTCCAGATCCAGTAACCCGCGGCGAAGAAGCTGGCGGCGTCGAGGCCCTCTGCGGCGCGGACGCGGATGCCGGGTGGATCGATGCCGGTGGTGGGGTCGAGCGAGAGATGGCGCACCCACATGTCCTTTTCGAAGACGATGGTGCGCATCATGGTGGTGGTGCCCCAGAGGCGCTTGCGGAAGTAGCTTGCGGAGCGCTCGTCGGTGGTCCAGCTTTCGAGACCGGTGCTGACGATGCCGGGGATGAGGATGACGGGATGGTCGGCGGAGTATCCCTGTGCGCCGAGGCTGCGGCCGACGCCAAAGTCCTTGTTCTTGAACCACTCTCTGGATCTGCTGAAGAGGTTCTCGCCCATGTCTGCAAACTCCTTGGGCATGCCGATGTCGATCGAGGGAAAGTCGATCCCCAGACCGTCGATGGATTCGTCGACGAGCGAGCGCAGCGCCTGGACGTGCTGTGCCATCTGGACGTTTCTCGAAGCGAGGAAGGCGATGACTGCGCCGAGCGCGGCACCAAAGAAGAAGAAGAGGCGGCGGTAGCGCATGATGCCGCGCTTGACGGGCAGGTCGTGCAGGTCATGCTGCAGAAACGGGATCTCGGAGAGGTCGAGCTCGTGCCAGGGAGTGCCTGGAGCGGCGACGCTGTAGCTGGGTCGTCCTTTGAGCGAAGGACGTTTGCGCTTTTCTAAGATGATCTGCTGAGGAGGTGTGACGGTGCCGCTGCCGCTCGAGTTGCGCGTGTTGTCGGATGCACGGTTGAGCTCGTGCGCCGAGGTGGTGCCGTTGCCGTTGCCGTGGCCGTTGGCGTTATGCGCATTGTTGCCGCGCTTGTGTTTGCGATTGTTCATGATTGCGAAGTACGCGCGCACAATGCGCGGAGAGGGAGAAGCTAGCGCTACAGAGGAAGAGGAGGAGGAGGTGGTGGTGGTGGTGGGAGAAGGTCAGGATGGGTGGGTTGTGAGCGAGAGGGAGAGTGGGCGGCATGGATAAGCCGATGCGGGCGGAAGCGTTCGGCATCGACCGGAGGTATTAATATTTAAACGCGCCTCAGCGGAAAGTGGAGGAGGAAATGCGTCTGAAAATCAAAATCATATGCGACGCGCTGCCAAACCGCACTCTGTGACTACTGAAACCCAAAAATTGTACCGCCGAAAAGGCATTTGACATCGGCTCGTCGCGTGCAGCCGCCCTGCCAGGAAAGCGTAAATTTAGAAAAAGGCCTTTGCCGGCGGGATTTCGGTAGCTTTGTGGTGTTAGACCACCATTCACAACACATTTCAGTTTTGGACGCGCGAGGCTGCAGGTCAGTCAGCTGGACAAGGAGCGGCGGACAAGGAGCGGCGGCGCACTCAGGGTCTGCGCATGTCGACTTGGGCAACACGCGCTCGCCTCGTGGTTGCTGCTGGCATCCACCAGTCGCCCCTTCGCAGTCTTCTCGCATCTTCTCACCACCATACGCAGCGCAGGCTCTGGTATAGCCGCACAACGGCACTTACGACTTTCACGACATTTTCGCCCATGTCCGCGCACCAGCGCTAGACGATCCGCGCCTCACGCGCAATCACGCACGCTCGCTGGCCAAGCTGCGCCCATTCACCACATCCTCTTTCCCTTCTCTCTCCTCGAGGCTTGGATAGCCAACATTCGCATTCGACATGCAGGTCGTCATTCCTGACTTGGACGACAAACAGCTCTTTGCTCCGCCGCCGCGACACAACCAGTCGTCGGCTACATCGGCGGCCCCATCGCCCGCGCATCAATCTGCAAGCGCTTCTCTAGACGATGGCCCTCCCGTATCGAGTCGAAACCTGCAGAGCATCACCACCGCAGCTCCCGGACCCTCCAACTGGGCTGATCAGCACTATGCTCATCCTTCGTCGGCCTCATCGACGACGCCAAATGCTCCCGGTCCGTTTCGCGGCGCCGCCCTCGGATGGCATGGCAGGTCCGGTAGTGCAACCAGCGACTCGTCCGCCGGCGGCGGCTTCGGTGGCCTCGGCTTCCGTATGCCCGCCTCATCCAACCTTGCTCATTCTCACTCCGAGATCGAGCCATCTTCCAGCTCCTCATCCACCTTCTACGCCCCGTATGCCTCTTCGGCCACCCACGCTCCCGCCTCACCTGGCTTCAGCTTCCCGAACAAGAAGCCTTCCTTCGCCTCCCTTCGATCCCAACTGCGCTCGCAGCACTCCGATACCGAGCCCATGCCCACCGAACATTGGCCAACCACACCGCGTGAGCCTCCAAGGCTCGACATTCCCGCTCCATCTTCCGACGCTGGCGACTTGACAGCAGGTTATCGCTCCGGTCTCTCCACTCCGCGCCCACCACCGCCCGCACCGCATTTTCCCTTTCAGCCGCAGCGCACCGCATCACCAGGACTGCACTCGCCTCCCGAAAGATCAATGCCTTTTGCTCCGTCTCGAGACCGCAGCGACAGTTACACCTCGTCTCCCTCCAGGCATCCAGGTCATACCGCCACCCAGTCCAGATCCTCGTCCCGCTACCACCACGCACCAACCTCATCCTACCATTCCGACTCCCACTACTCGGTCGGTGGCATGAGCAGCTCCGCCAGCAGCGCCGCCTACCCCTACGCCGCCTCCGTCACTGATCTCCCCCCGGTCCCTCCGTTGCCCACCTCCGGCGACAGCATCTACGCAGACATGCCAGTCACCCCGGGCGGTCACACCAACAACGCCGCCTTCCATCTCCCTCGCGCCATGGCCAGCACCACCTCCTTTGACCATTCCGACCATGGCAGCAGCCCACTCAAGCCGCCAACGCGCCAGCTTCGCGACGACGACCACGAAGACGCCTCCAGTGGAGACCATGCGCAGTGGGGCCCCAACCAGCGCCCACGTCGCAAGCCCGCCAACATCGTCCCCGCACCTCCCCGCCCCAACGCTCTAGCCATCAGCCTGGGAGCCGAAGGCCTCGGCCAGCTCCCCGCCGGTATCGGCACCCCGGACCCGCAGGCTCCTGTCGAATACGCCCTCAACATTCTCATGAGCCGCTTCATCACATTTGCAAATGCAAAGGTCAAGCGCGCCCTCGACTCGGCTCAAGACGCCGATCCAAAGATGCTCAGCGCTCTCAGTGCCGAAGAGGACGCGCTCTTCGACTCGGTCTGCGGCTCGCTCGCCCACATTTCCCGCAAAGGCGCCTCCTCGGTCATCCGCAGTCTCTTTCGTTGGAAGTCCATTACCGTCGAATCCGACATCGACGCCGACCTCGTCCGCAGACATCTCGCCGCCGCCCCACCTCCAGGCACCTCGAGCATCGGAACACGCGAAGTCGCCACCTACCTTGCCAGACGCAAGGAGCTCTTCGCCATCTTCCTCGCCTCCAACGCGCTCTTCGTCATCGCAAAGACGCTCGCCCGCGACTCGCTCAACGAGGCACACGCCGCAGAGACCGAGGAGCAGACCTTCACAATGCTCCTCACCTGCACGCGCGAAAAGGACAAGGACCGCACCCTACTCCGGCCCATCACCCACATCCGCGACGCCTGCTTCGAAAGCGTTTCCAAGCTCATCGGTGAAATCTCCCGCACACGCTTCGTCACCATCAGCGACCGCTTTGTCGAGATCCTCGAGCAGTCCACAAAGGCTCCCTCTAGCAAGAATGTCGAGGATCTTCTCGTTGCCGCCATCCAGAGCCTGCGCCATCTCAAAATCACCATCTACCCCATGGAGCTCTTCGAGGAAGGCGCAGACTTTGTCGACGTCTTGGCCCGCCACTTTGCCCACTGTCACGGCTTCCGCATAAAGGCCAGCTTCGCAGAGGCCTTTGCTTACCTCATGCTTCCCGTCGCTCAGACTGCCTCCGCCGAGGTCAATCATCCGACTTGGACGAAAGCCGTCGACACCATCTGGCCCAGGATGACCGCAATGGCTACAAAGCCCCGCTACTGGACCGTCGCCTATCCGCTCCACGTCACGCTCCTCGCCGTCTCGCCAGAGGAGAAGTTGGCTGCCAACTGGTTCGCCTGCCTCGAGGCAGGGGTCGTCAAACTCAAGGACCGCGCAAATCGCCCCATCGTGCTCAACGCCGCCGTCCGCTTGGTCTGGGCATATGCTTTCCGCTGTCACGAGAGCCACACCAACACCCACAAGAAGCTCGAGGCCTTCTTCCGCATCTGGTTCCCCGCCAATCGCCGCTCTGTGCATCCCTCCGACTCTTCACCCGATCCGTTCATCATGATGCTCCACTATGCGCTCTACCGCCACTTTGACTTTGGTCGTGAGCTCATGCTCAACTTCCTCTGCCACTCGGCCCTCGGAGGCAGCACGCTCTCGCTTCAGTCCGACGTGCTTTCGGGTCAGCGTATGACCATCGCCATTCGAGCTATCCTCCTCACCCTCGATGCGCATGTTCGAGCGGAGTCTCCGCCTTTCCCGTGCAGCGCCGACTTCCACCACTTTGACTTTGACACGCTTCCCGAGGGCTCGGGCGATGAGCTACCGGAGGGCTTCAAGTTTCCCAAACCCGAGATTGGCGAGGCTCAGAACCAGTTCAACGACCTCATCGGCAAGATCGCGCTTCTCTGCGACCATCAGATCAGTGACATGACCGTCTTTGATGCACGCACCCATCTCTTTGCTCGCACGTCGCATAGCGCAGGCGCATCAGCCGCCGAGCGCGCCCTTCTCGAGCGCGACGGCTACACCTGCCGCTACCACCGCGCTGCCACGCTCACCGCCGCCTACCCGCGAGAAAATCAGCCTTCCGCCGACCTTCTCCGCGCATGCTTTGAGTCGTGGCCGCGATGCCTCAGTCCAAACATCTCCCTCTCGAGCGTCCTAGGCGTCCTCTTCCGAGCCCACTTCAGCGCCGATCCCGACCTCAGCAGAGCCTCGGCACGCGCTTTGCGACGCATCGCCAGCCAGCGGCCCGGCGGCTCCTCCACCGTGGTCTCGGGCTTCATGCGCTTCATCTTCCGCATGGACACAGCGTTTTGGGAAATCCACCCAAAGCAGATGCTCGTCATGCCCAAGGTCGAAGAGGCTGTTCGGTTGTGGATCGACTTTATGCAGATCTGGCTGGCAGAGCTTCGCAGTCAGAACAACCAGGCCGAACAGGGCAAAGGCTTCGAGATGGAACGCACCAGCACTTGGGCCCTCATGGACGAGGTCGAGGCGTATGCGCTCTTCTTGCTGTGCTCAGCTTCGCGCCCGTTGCGGTCCTTGGCCATCGAGATCCTGCGTTTGATCGCAGTCCTGGACGACGCGTTCAGTCGACGAGCCGCGGGCGACCAGGCACGCGCGCAGAACGAAGACGAAGAGCCTACTCGCATCGTGCACCTCCTCGACATGCCTTGCCAGACCTTCCTCGATGCAAACGATCCGCATCTGAGCTGGCATCAAATCAATCATCTCGCACGCTGGAAGTCTCCAGACCGCTCCACCTCGCTCAAAGTCATCGCCGAGAGCGAGCGCGAGGTTGAGCAGTCGCTCTGGTTCCGCGCTCTTCCCCTCTTCCTTCGCATGAGTCTGGAGCGCTTTCCGACCACCGTTGCGGTGTTCCGCTCCTACATCACCAATCGCGTCCTGGAAATGGACCACGTTGCCGTGTATGCGGCCGACATCTCGAATCGCGCCCCGGCCCATACAATCAACAGCTCGACGCTCAGCAAGTCCCAGGCAGCCTCGGCTGGGACGGCCTCGTTGCACAACTCCACCTCGCACGCATCTTTGCGCGATGCTGCCGCTGCTAGTCCAGCGGGTTCGGCCGAATACCAGCTCATGGCACAGCACTGGCGCTTCTATGTGCTGGCGCTCTGCACGACTACCACCTCCACCGAAGGCTCGCGCGGCGGCGTCGTGGGCAACCATCGCAGAAAGACGAGCGAACCAGAGAACGGCGAACGCATGATCTCGGCACGCGACCTGTTCCAGAAGCTGGTGCCCTTCCTTGCCTCTGACAACGAAGCTTTTCAGGATGCGGTCGTCTTTGCTCTCGGCAACATCAACGAGAACCACTACTTGGCTCTGCTCGAGACCATGCAAGCACTCAATGGAACTCTCACGGACGATTTCCGGGTTCGATCGGTTGCACGCTCGGGGCTCAAGCGAAACCGCAGGCTGGACCGACTGCGCACTGCCCTTGCGCACGTGCTGCAGCTCACGGCTCCGCATATGGAATCGCTGGGTCACCTGGACAATGCGAAGGTTGTTGGCATCGTCCACAACTGGGTCAAGGAGACGTTCAATTTCCTCACCGACCGCGAAATCCGCCAGGATTGGGAGTTCCACAGTCTCCGACGCTTCTTCTGCGCCGTCACCCAGCACTTCTTTGACGGGCTCGCGAAGAGGAGTCAAGCAGACGTCCAATTCCCATTCGAGACTCGGCTGCGCATGTTCCGCATCTTCCGCGACTGGCATTCTTACAGCACCGTCAGCGAGGACGGTCGCAACAAGCTCGCCAACCTGCTCAGCGCAGCTGCCGATCAGCAGCGAGATGACAGGGCCAAGGAGCGTGCGGTCAAGACACTCAACTACGAAACGCAAGCGCTTTCGTACCAGGCCGGCTGTGCCATGGCTTCGCTCTGCCAGGGCGCCATCTCGATGGTGGGCGGACCGGCTCCAGCACCGATGGCCGGCTCGTCCCTTGAGGCCAGCTCGCTGCTGCACTGGATTACCAGCCTCTTCCAAACGAGCGACGAGAAGAACCACGACCTGGCTCGGAAGGCGCTGCGGTCGCTCTTGGTGTACAATGACCAGAACGCTGCCCTGGTGGACAATGCAGTGGACCGGTGCATCACCGAAAGCGACCGGGCGCTCAGCAGGAAGAGCCTCTTTGTCACCACGGCTGAGGTGATCATCGATAAGGAGGATCTGTCGATGCCACTGCACGCCGTCTTCTGCCTTGGACTGGTAAAGCTCGGGCACCCTGACTCGAGCATCCGCCGCAAGGCGCTCTCGGTGCTCCAACATTGCAGTCGACGCTTCGACGAGAGCTGCACGCTGGACGAATACGAGGTGGGTGTGTCGAGCCCGCTGCCGGCCATCTACCTGCGTGCGCAGCGCGACGTCAACGCGCATCTCGCCATGCACTTTGATGGGCTCAGGACGGCCATGCTCAGCGAGTTCACCAGACGGCTGCCGTTGGTGGATGCCTCGCGCCGTGCCACCATCCTGGGTCTGCTGCCCGAGTGGCTGCGTGGATTGGTGCTGCACACTGCCCAACCGCACCTCGAGGACTATGCGGCCGCGCCGCTCGAAGTCGTGCTGTACAGGGCCTACCTAAACCTTTCGAACCTCTTCTGTCTCACCGTGCGGTACGGTGACGAGCACAACTTCGAGATCCAGGAGATGTGGAGCAGCCTTGTGGCTGCATCCGAGGACCTGCAAAGCGCCGACGCCGTAGTGAGTTTCCTGATCGACCAGGGGCTTCACTTCCGCAGCGAGCAGGTGGTCAACCACTCGAAGCGCGTGGTATCCTGCATCTCGCACACTCTGGCCGGGCCGCACATCTTCGAGCGTCTCTGCGCTATGGTCGAGCCAGGCCGCATGATTCAAGTGCCGCGGATCGCTCCTGCGCCCATGCCGGACCCGGACCATCACCATCTCTATCGCGCCGACCTGGCCAAGCTGCTTCCAGAGCCCGAGCCAACGCTGGCATTCTCCTCGGGCCAGCTTGCGCTCTTGTACGTCGGAGAGATGACATACGAGCGAAGAGAGCAGCTGGACTCTGCGCTGCCGACGCTGCTGCACGCCATCTTCCTCCACATCGACAGCCGGTCCACGTTTGTGCGGGCCCAGGTGGTCGAGCTGCTCGAACAGCTGCTGCGCTGCGCCATCTCGGTTGGCGTCAATGCGGTGAACCAGGCCGCACCACCGGGCTCGAGCTTCAGCGGCGTCGACCCGGACCGCGTGTTCGCTGCCAAAGCACAGGTCGAGCGGCTCTTCACTCGACGCAACTTTGCCAACTGGTCAGCAGAGTTGAACGACGATGCCGATGATCGTCAGGAACGCATGCCCATCAACCTTCTGACCACTGCGCACGAGACGCTGACGGTCATCGAACCCTTCTGCCCTAGCTTCCGCCAGGACTGGGGCACGGTGGCTCTGACGTGGGCCGCATCGAATCCGATCCGGCACATGGCATGCCGGTCGTTCCAGGTGTTCCGCGCGCTGCATCCGGCGGTGACGCCGAGCATGATGGTCACGATCCTCGGCAGACTGGCGGACACAGTGTCGGATCACAAGCCAGAAGTGCACCGCTTCACGCTCGAGGTGCTCTACGCGTTGAACCTCGTCGTCAAGGACTGCGAGCCGACCAACCGCGAATACATGGCGCAGACCTGGTGGGCGACGCTGGCGTGCCTGTCGACGATCAACGAAGCCGAGTTCGCCGAGTCGGCGGCCATCCTGGAGAGGCTGGTGGAGAGGCTGGACATTGGCTCGCCGGATGTGATCGCGTTGCTGGTGCAGAAGTGCCCCGAGGGGTGGGAGGGCGATGTCGGTGTGCTCCGCATCCTGGTCTCGCGTGGACTGCGCTCGTCAGAGACATCGGCACCGACGTTCCGACTGATGGCACGGCTGGCAAAGTGCCGCGATCCGGCACTGATCGACGTCGACGACCGATGCCGATTGGGCTATCTGTTCGTGGCTGCGCTGCCGTGGTTCCTGCAAGTTACGGAGGAGAGCTTGAAGGCGGCGGGAGGGACCGTCACCAGCAAGAACGACCCTCGCACGAACGGTGCCAAGAAGGCTGGTCCTGATGCCGGAGGAGGTGCCTCGCTGGGCATCGCAGACTCGGTGGGGCCAGCACTTTCCGCCGACACCACACAGATGGCTCTGGAGATGGCTGCTGATCTGGCGGGCATCGCGGCACGGCTCGAGATGCGCGACCTGGAGCGCGTCGCCACGTCGATTGCGCGATCGCGCTTCCGCACCAAGGACGACCTGGTGCGGCAGGCCGTCAACTGCATCCGGTCGCACTACTTGCCGGAGCATGGGCCCGAGTTGGCGGTGCTGCTGCTGGGCGTGGTGCTGAACCGGCACGAGTGGATGCGCAAGCAGGCGATGCAGGTGCTCAAGATGTTCTTCCAGGCGCTCGACACGCGCAACCACGCGGCGTTCAGCAATCTCGGCTCAGAGCTGCTCATGCCGCTGTTGCGTCAGCTGTCTACGCCGCTGTCTGCGCAGGCGCTCGAGGTGCTGGACGAGCCGATCGTGGTGCATGGCGGTCCGGCTGCCAACCAGATCCTGCGCATGAGTCTGCAGTGGGGCAATATGGCGCTCGGGTCGGGGCGCGAACTGGTGCACGACGCGTCGATCTTCGGGCCGCCGCTCGAGACGGGCTGGGCGGTGGCGGATGCGCAGGACATGGCGACGCGCACGCGCATCAACCTGCAGGCGCTCGTCAAGATGTGCGAGCGCACGCTCGACATTATGCCGACGGGCAACAACGTCAACTTTGTGGTGGACGACGCCTACGACAGCACGGCCGAGGGCGATGGTGGCGGGTTTGCGCTGGACGAGGCGCCTGGGGTGGGTGGGTCGAACGAAGACGTGCCCGCATCGAGCCTGGGCGACATTGTGAACCAGCTGCACGACCTGTCGTCGTTCTTTGGCGACGATCCCATGTCCAAGAGCCGCCAGGCGTCGGTGATGTGGCGCGACTCGCGGCTGGATCGGTCCGGCTCGATGCGGCTGGCGTCCGGACTGGGACGCACTTCGTCGACACGATCGAATGGGATGGCGGCAGGGGGTACGCTGCGGGGACCGCACTACAGCCGGCAGGTGTCGCCGAATCCGACCGTGGTGCCGGACCGTTCGCAGAGCAGCTTGCCAGGCCATTCGGCATCGACGGTCGTGGCGCGATCGCGCACGGGCGCACACGACGGGATTGACGAGGTCGGTGCAGGGCGAGGGGTGAGCCTGGCCGACGTGTCGAGTGCGTCGATGGGCAGGTCGGCCAGTACAATGTCGGGACGCAGCGAGGAGAATGGCTCGAGCCGATCGCGCGCACAGATCGCCAAGATCCTCGCGCGGTCCACGACGAGAGACAGCCCGCCGTCGACGTTGCGGATTGGACAGTCGGGCGCAGCAGACGCGGCCAAGGATGGAGCTGATGCTGGAAGAACGCGGTCGGACAGTCTGGACCAGCTGTCGGAGAGCAGCTCGCAGCCGCACGTGCGTGGCGCGGCGGGCATGGCAAGGAGGGGCAAAGTGGTGCATCAGCAGAAAATGTCGTCGTCCTCAGCGGCCTCGTCGGTACTGGCATCGCCGTACTCTGCACAGACGTCGCGCCGCAACGGCACAGCGCAGTGGATGGCCGCGAGTGCAAGAGCCAATGGCTCTGGCTGATAGCACCACACAGCGTGTACATTCACTCGGACCCATCAGTTGCAATCCAGACGCTTTGAGCAAGTTGTACATTTCTACGAGTGTCTATGAGTCTTGTGCGTCGGATTGGGCACGGGCTTGGTGTTTGGCGCGCCATTCGCGGATACCCTTTTCGAAGGTACCCAGATCGGTACCCGAATGACCAACAAGCACAAAGTGTACCCCAAGCTTGCCTACTTCGGCATTACGATGTTCGTCGTCGAAGAACAGCATGTCTTGATACTCTACGCCCGAGTCTTGCTGTAACCGCTTGAAGTGGGTTAATTTGCTGCCTGGATAGATCTGTTCGTATTCAAACAGGCCCGCTGCCCTTTGGACCTTTGGTTCGTCGCTCGTAAGGATGTTTGAATCGTTGACGAGGTGGAGGCCGTTTAGGGCTTGACGTGCAGCAGTGGGTGCGCTTGTTCGACTCGCGATCGCAATCGGTATGCCTCGACGCTGGAGCCAGAAGAGGATCGAAGGGACGTGCGGGAAGAACTGCAGCGGTTGACCGTTGCGATCGTAGACGCGATTCAGGTCCGAGCCACGCCGTGAGAGCGGAGCGTCAACGTGTGTGTCCACCCACAGAGGCCATAACGTATAGTCCAGATCAAACACGACAAGCGAAGGTAACGGACCGTCGTTCAGCGCTTCGAGTGAGGCGACGAGTCGGTGCGTAAGGTCAGAATGAGCATAGGAGGCTGGTAGAGAGGAAGAGGTCGTGGAAGGGCTGCGTGCCCGACGACCTATCTTGCGAACCATGGCAGGGTCTAAGAAGGTGGGATGGTGGTGGCGAGGAAAAGTTGCCGACATGCCAAAGAGGTGCAGATGTGGAGGCCGTATATTGACAACCTAACACATTCGCACCCGAACCTCACTTGCAAGCTCAGCAAAAGCACACTCGCTCGGCAACCACGATGCGATCCGGTGTAATGTTTGCAATTGCGATGAGGCGGGTGTCTACTCGGCCTCGTCATCCGTCTCTTCTCCTCGATCCTCCTCATCCTCTGCCTCTTGGTGTGACTGGGGGACGGCTCTCCTTGTCTGCCTGACGCGCGTGTTGCAGCGCAGACACTTCCACCCCCTACGACCCTGGTCGTCCTCTTCATCCAGCTCGTCCTCCATCTCGTCGTCGAGCAGCTGTTTTGCGATGCACACGTAGCAGTACGCATGCGCGCACGGCACGGTCTCGTACGGCGTAGTCACGATGGCGTCTGCATACGCAATACCATCGGGCGATACGCCCAGCACCGCATTGCGCGCCGGATCCCCGCCACTGCCCGTCGCGGCATTGAGCGGCTGCGATGCGGAGCGCGTGCGGTTGGGCGCGAGCAACCCTGAGCTGGGGTCGAGCGGATCGGACGTGGGGATGCCCATACTCAGCCCGCCCGTGCCGAGCTTGGTCGGGTCGCGGCTGAGCCCCGACTGCGCCTCGAGTCGCTGGTAGCAGATGGCGCACACCTCGACCGGCAGCTGCGCGTACGGCCCCAGTGTCGACTCGCGCTCGAGCGCTGCCTTTTCCGACACGGACCGACGCGAACCGAGCACCGCCCGCGCGCCCGGGATCGAGACGGCGTCCTTGTTGAACCTCGTCCTGCCCGCTGCATCCTGCCTGATGCCGAGGCGATGGCTGACCGCGTAGGGAAGGAAACGAAACACGACCGCAAGCAGCTTCGGATGTGTGGGCAGCTTCATGATCCGCCTGAACAAGCGCTTTGGACGGACGAGCGGCAGGAGGAAGAGGAGGAACTCGGTGAATGCATGCCACACCAGCTGGCGGTTGAGAAACTCGAACGAGACGTTGCGGTTCATGGTGCGCTGCGAGTAGGTGAGCCGCATGCCCAGCAGCCTGTCTGCGACGCTCCTGAACCTGCCATCGGCGAGAAAGACGGCAAAGTTGACGAGCACCAGTGCGGACCAGACGCGCTGCGAGGCGTCGGTGAGCTTCCAGAGCAGCCGGCGCGGGTCGTTGTTGGGCATGTCCGAGTAGGAGAGCGACGTCATATGGCCCTGCCACTTGGCTCCAAGGTAGGGTGCCACAATGGTGAGGAGCGGATAGAGCGCGAGCTGGAGTCGCGAGAGCGGCTGATCGCGCGCGGTCGACTGGAGCGCGCCGCGGTGCGCCCACTCGTTGCGGTACTTGAGATTCTGCAGCATCGACCCGTACGATGCGCCGCGATCGACGATGCTGAACTTGAATAGCGCAAGCTTGAGCAGCAGCAGCAGCTCGGGCTCCGCATCCGACGCGAGCGTCGACCTGATCGTGCCGAGCGCCTTCTTGACCGGATCGAGCAGCAGCTCGGCGAGTTCGCGGTCGAGCAGCTCGGCGTCGAGCTGGTTGACGCGCTGGATCTTGAGGATGGGCGTGGGGAACTTGTGCAGCGACGAGCGTATCGCAGCGATGGAGGCGGACGCGGCCTGCGATGCAGAGTGGTAGAACGGCGGAGGTGTGGGGATCTGTGCATCGGTTGCGTTGGGGTCTGCGGCAAGTTGTTCCGGCGACGGCATTCCGGTTGCGGGAACAGATGGGGAAGAGGCGGCGTCGGTGGGCAAGGACGAAGGTCCTGCCACCGGGTCGTGCGCAGAGCCTCCTGGTGAAGAGGACGAGTCTTGAGTCATCGCGTGTTAGCTGGGGTTGGCGGTGGTGGTGGTGGATGCGAAAGCGAAAGCGAAAGCGAAAGATGGGCGCGCTTCCTTCCCCACATGCGACATCCGGCGAAAGTGGAGTGTGAGAGTGGCCCGGAAGTGGCCTGGCCAGCTTCAATGCCGATAGCCGGATTTTTCAATCGGAGCCTGTAAGATTCTCACTTTGATGTGGCAAAAATGTAAACTACGCCGACCTCACATTTTGAAACCCGAAAATCTAGAACGATGCCAGCGTGAACGGCTTCTGCAGCTGTTGTTGCCTGCAGAAAGTCGTCCGCTCTGCTGTCAGACAGTCTGGGCGAAGAGCGGTCGTTCCGGGTAGCTGGTTCCGCTGCACGCACCATGCTCTGCACAGCCTCACACCGACCCCATGGAAACGGCGGGTGAGCAGCTGGAGCAGACCACCATTGTATTGTAAGAATGTGGCTCTGGCGTGCTGGCGGGCTTGCTTGCTTTATGCTGGTCGCATTGTTCTTGCTGTCGTCGCAGCTGCGGAGGAAGGAGGGAGCGAGCGAATTGGCGCGCCCATGCCGAACCACTGGAATGGCGGCGGCGTGCTGACAAGAAACGCAAACGCACGCGCCGCGACTTCTTTTGGCTCGTCGGCCTCCTTTTGAGACCAACACTTTTTCGGGCAGTCGAGGCGCGGAATTTTTTTCTTGGCCTGCAGCACCACTGCATTTGGGCGCATTGGGCTAGGGGTAGCCGAAATTCCCAATGCACCCGGCTCGGCGGCTCGGCGTGTTGTTTCCAGTGCTGGGCAAGTGCAGGCGAGCTGCTGCCGCCGAGGATCGGCAACTTGCGTGCTGATCGACTCGAGCCCACCACTGACTCTTCGGGCTGGGCGGCTACCTTCCTTTCATCACAGAGTGGGCTCAGCCAGCAGGTCCCCGCTTCCATCAAGCTACCTCTCAAACCCTCGCCGCCTTCACCTTTACCCTCACCACCACCACCACCATCTGCATCCCTGTTCCAACCGCAAAACTCTTGGACCTGTTCATTCGCTCTCCCCTTTGACTTTGACACTCGCTTCCACTGTCCTTTACTCGTCAAAATGGCCTTCTCCAAGTCCTCGCTGCTCGCCACCGCCCTCGTGGCCATGAGCTCGGTCGTCTCGGCCCAGAGCAACTCGGCCTCGTACGACCAGGTCGCCCAGATCCAGCTCACCTTCCCTGCTGCCGACCTCACCCCCGTACCCGTCCCCGCCAGCTGGCTCGACATCCAGGGCGTCCTCAACGTCACGTTCGGCGACGTGGCCGTGTCGAACATCGGCGACAAACTCACCGTCGCACAGGTGCAGTCCGCCCCCTCGTTCCGCATCAGCGCACAGACGCCCGCCGCCTCGTCCAAGTCGGTCTTCGGTGAGGGCAAGCTCTTCACCATCGCCTTCCTCGACGCCGGCGTCGCAGGCAAGAACACCAGCACGGAGGTGTTCAACCACTACCTCGGCAACAACTTCACCATCGACGCCTCCTCGGGCGAGCTGCGCAACCAGACCGGCGCGCGCGTCAACTACGGCGCCCCGCGCCCCGACACCAACGACGGCCCGCACCGATACATGCAGCTCGTCTTCCAGCAGTTTGAGAACTTCACCGCACCCCCCCCCCCCCCCCCCCACCCCCCCCG